TCCCGTCCTGCCCGGCCCCCGCCCCGCCCCCCGGCCCCGGTACCCACTGGGGGGCTTGGGGGGGACACTGGGGGGGGTTTGGGGTGACATTGGGGGGGTTTGGGGTGACACTGGGGGGGTTTGGGGTGACATTGGGGGGGTTTGGGGTGACATTCGGGGGGTTTGAGGACATTGGGAGCCACCTGCTGAGGGATCGCTACAGCCCCGCCCGGGTGGTCCCGTTCTGCACGGCCCCCGGCCCGCCCCCCGGCCCCCAGTGGACCTGAGCAGCTGGCGGGCGCGGCTGGAGCGGGCGGAGCAGCGCCCCGAGGATGAGGAGGAGGAGGAGGAGGAGGAGGAGGAGCCCCCGCGGGGGGATGAAGAGGAGGAGGAGGAGGGGGCGGGGCCTGGGGGCGTGGCCCCGCCCCGGCAGTGGGAGCGCTACCGGCACGGCGTGCTGACCCTGGGCTGCGTGGGTGAGAGGGCGGGGCCAGGGGGCGGGGCCACGGTGGGCGTGGTCACTGGAGTGTGGTCACTGTGGGTGTGGTCATTGTGGGTGTGGTCACTGTGGGTGTGCTTTCTGGGTGTGGCTCGGTGCCGATGTGTCCCAGGTGGGCGTGGCTCAGCGTAGGTGTGCCTGAGATGGGCGTGGCTTAGCACAGGTGTGTCCCAGGTGGGCGTGGCTCACTGTGGGTGTGCCCTGGGTGGGCGTGGCTCACTGTGGGTGTGCCCTGGTGGGTGTAGCTCTGTACTTGTACCCTGGATGGGTGTGGCTCAGAGTGGGTGTGCCCTGGTGGGTGTGGCTCACAGTGGGTGTGCCCAGTGGGCGTGGCTTTGTACCTGTACCCCGGGTGGGCGTGGCTCGCAGTAGGCATGCCCCAGTGGGTGTGGCTCACGGTGTGCCTGGGTGGGTGTGCCTCAGAGTGGGTGTGCCCCGGTGGGTGTGGCTCACACTGGGTGTGCCCGGGTGGGCGTGGCTCACAGCGGGTGTGTCCGGGTGGGTGTGGCTCAGTGGGTGTGCCCCGGGTGGGTGTGGGTCACAGTGGGTGTGCCTGGGTGGGTGTGGCTCACAGCGGGTGTGCCCGGGTGGGTGTGGCTCAGTGGGTGTGCCCCGGGTGGGTGTGGGTCACAGTGGGTGTGCCTGGGTGGGTGTGGCTCACAGCGGGTGTGCCCGGGTGGGTGTGGCTCAGTGGGTGTGCCCCGGGTGGGTGTGGGTCACAGTGGGTGTGCCTGGGTGGGTGTGGCTCACAGCGGGTGTGCCCGGGTGGGTGTGGCTCAGTGGGTGTGCCCCGGGTGGGTGTGGGTCACAGTGGGTGTGCCTGGGTGGGTGTGGCTCACAGCGGGTGTGCCCGGGTGGGTGTGGCTCAGTGGGTGTGCCCCGGGTGGGTGTGGGTCACAGTGGGTGTGCCTGGGTGGGTGTGGCTCACAGCGGGTGTGCCCGGGTGGGTGTGGCTCAGTGGGTGTGCCCCGGGTGGGTGTGGGTCACAGTGGGTGTGCCTGGGTGGGTGTGGCTCACAGCGGGTGTGCCCGGGTGGGTGTGGCTCAGTGGGTGTGCCCCGGGTGGGTGTGGGTCACAGTGGGTGTGCCTGGGTGGGTGTGGCTCACAGCGGGTGTGCCCGGGTGGGTGTGGCTCAGTGGGTGTGCCCCGGGTGGGTGTGGCTCACAGTGGGTTTGCCCTGGGTGGGCGTGGCTCACCGTGGGCGTGCCCCGCGTGGGTGTGGCTCACAGTGGGTTTGCCCCGGGTGGGCGTGGCTCACAGTGGGCGTGCCCCGGGTGGGTGTGGCTCACAGTGGGTTTGCCCTGGGTGGGCGTGGCTCACAGTGGGCGTGCCCCGGGTGGGTGTTGTACCCCATTGTTTTACCCCATTCTCTCTCCACAGGTCCTGGCAGGGGTGTACCCCATCTCCCAGCTGCAGGACCCCTACTCGGCCGTGGGGTTCCTGGGCTCCCGCCTGGCCCTGCCCCCCCTGCTGCAGCTGCGCCCCCCCAGCGGCCCCGGCTGGACGGCCTGGGAGCTCTGCGAAGGTGCGACCTGCCAGGACCTGCCAGGACCTGATGGGGCCTGCTGGGACCTGCCAGGGTCTGCCAGGACCTGTTGGGGCCTGTTGGGACCTGCCATGACCTGCCAGGACCTGATGGGGCCTGCAGGGACCTGCCAGGACCTATTGGGGCCTTCTGGGACCTGCCGGGGCCTGTCAGGACCTGCTGGGGCCTGCAGGGACCTGTTGGGACCTGCCGGGACCTGTTGGGACCTGTCAGGACATTCAGGGGTTTGGGGGGAATTTGGGGGAATTTGGGGGGAATTTGGGCATTTTGGGGTTGGGGCTTTTCTGGGATGGTTTTTGGGCTGTTTGCTTTGATATTTTGGGATATTTTTGGGGGATTTTTCGGCTGTTTCCCGTGCTGTTCTGGGGTATTTTTGGGGTATTTTTGGGCTGTTTCCCCTGCTGTTCTGGGATATTTTTTGGGATATTTTTGGGTATTTTTGGGCTGTTTCCCCTGCTGTTCTGGGATATTTTTGGGGTATTTTTACAGCCTGCAGAAAGGTACCAAAAACACCCAAAATTGGGGGTTTGGGATCCAAAAACACCCAAAATTGGAGGTTTGGGACCCAGAATTGGGGATTTGGGGCAGTTTTGGGGGGTTTCAGGCAGTTCTGGGGGGTTTTGGGGCAGTTCTGGGGGGATTTGGGACCCAAAAATATCCAAAATTAGGAATTTTGGAGCCAAAAATACCCAAAATTGGGATTTGTGATCCAAAACTGGGGATTCAGGGCAGTTCTGGGGGATTTGGGATGCAAAAATACCCAAAATTGGGGATTTGAGACCCAAAAATATCCAAAATTGGGGATTTGGGATTCAAAATTGTGGATTTGGGATCCAAAACTGGGGATTTGGGGTGGTTTTGGGGGGATTTGGGACCCAAAAAAACCCCCAAATCTGGGATTTTATACCTAAAAAAAAAAATCTCAAAAATGGGGGGTTTTGGAAGGATTTAGTACCCAAAAAAACCCCAAAACTGGGGATTTGGGACCCGAAAAAAGCCCAAAATTGGGAATTTGGGACACAAAAAATCCCCAAAATTGGGGATTTGGGGGAAATTTGGGGATTTTGGGGGGGATTTGGGGGAGTTTTGGTACCCAAAAAGCTCCAAATTTGGGGATTTCGGGGTGAATTTGGGGAGTTTTGGGTCCATTTTTTTGGGGTCTGGCCCCTCCCGGCTTGGCCCCGCCCCCTGACCCCGCCCCTGCCCCTCCCCCAGAGCACTGGGAGCTCCACCCCGACACCGCTGCCATGGCGGCCATGACAGGGGGCGGAGCATCCGCCCCTCCCCCCCCCGGGGCCGCCTCCAGCTCCGAGGACGACGAGGGGGAGGAGTCAGACCAGGCCACGCCCCCTCCCAGCCCCGCCCCCAACCCCTTCGCACTGCTGGGGGAGGACGAGTGTTGAGCCACGCCCCCTTCTGGGGGCGGAGCCAATCAGAGCGCGTGGATTATCGTGTTACCATATATGGAATAAAGGGTTTATTTCTGCAGAGCTGAGCGGCCAATCAGAGCGCGGGGGCGGGGCCTGGGGAGTGAGGTCATTGTTAGGCCACACCCTTTTCCTTTTATGGGTTTGGCTCCACCCAACACAGCCACACCTACTCTTCATTATTTGGACATTGTCCCACCCACATCCCCTAATTTGGGCATTGCCCCGCCCACATTTCCTTATCTGGGTTCTGCCCCACCCACACTTCATTATTTTGGCCTTGCCCCGCCCACATCCCCTCATTTCCATTTTGCCCCGCCCACACTCCCTTATTTGAATATTGCTCCACCTGCATTCCCTTATATGACTTGGCCACACCCCCCTTTACCATATTTGGGCTTAGCCCCACCCTTCTTTGTCCTAAGCCCCACCCCTGAATACACCACCCACATTTCCATATTTATGGCTGGCCCCGCCCCCTTTCCCCTCCATGCCCCGCCCCCACCGACCTGTGGGCGTGTCCTGCCCGGGTGGGTGTGGCCGGGGTGGGCGTGGCTCAGGCGGGCACAGGAAGCGCCGGCGGCGGCCGCAGGTGAGGCAGCGCAGGACGAGGCGGGGCTGGCCACGCCCTAGGGCGGGGCAGGGGGCGGGGTCAGGCACGGACACGCCCACAGCGCTCCAGGAATGCCCCAAAATCCCCCCAAAATTCTCCTAAATCCCTCCAAAATCACCCCAAATCCTCCCAAAATCCCCCCAAAATTCTCCTAAATCCTCCCAAAAATCCTCAAACTTCCCCGAAAATCTCCATCAAAAATGCCAAAATGCCCCCAATTCCACCCAAATCACCTCCGAAATCCACAAAGCCCCACAAATCCCCCCAAAAAACCACCAGAAATCTCCCCCAAATTTCCACAAAAATCCCCAAACCCCCCAAAACTCCACAAATCCTCCCAAGATCTCAAAAATCTTCCCAAAATCCCCCCAAAAATCTCCAAAATCCTCCCAAAATCCCCCAAACTTGCCCCAAAAGCCCACAAATTCTCCCAAAATCCTCCCAAAACCCCACAAATCTTCCTAAATTCCCCCAAAATCTCCCAAATTCCCCCCAGATCCCCCCAAAATCCCCTAAATCCCCCCAAAGCCCAACAAGTCCTCCCAAACTTTCCAAAACTTCCCCCAAAATCCCCCGAAAAATCCCTAAAATGTCCCAAAAATCCAAAAAATTCCCAAATATCCCCCAAAAAATCCCCAAAATCCCCCCAAAATGCCCCCAAATTCCCCCAAAATGCCCAAAAACTGCCCCAGGACCAGTATAAACCAGTATGGACCAGTAAGGACCAGTATAAACCAGTACGGACCAGTATAAACCGGTATGGACTGGTATGGACCGGTATGGACCAGTATAAACCAGTACAGACCAGTATAAACCAGTATAAACCAGTAGTCACCCACCCAGAGACTTCCCAGTTCCTTCCCAATCCACCCCAGTATACACCAGTAACCCCAAACCCCAAACCCCAAACCAGTATAAACCAGTACAAACCAGTAACCCCCAAATCCCCTCCCAGTATAAACCAGTAACCCCCCAAAGCCCAACAAGTCCTCCCCAACTTTCCAAAACTTCCCCCAAAATCCCCCGAAAAATCCCTAAAATGTCCCAAAAATCCAAAAAATTCCCAAATATCCCCCAAAAAATCCCCAAAATCCCCCCAAAATGCCCCCAAATTCCCCCAAAATGCCCAAAAACTGCCCCAAAACCCCCACAAATCCCCCGAAATCTCCCCAAAACTTTCCCCAAATTCCCCCAAACGCCCCCAAAGCCCCAAAATGCCCCAAAACTGCCCCAAAACCCCCACAAATCCCCCGAAATCTCCCCAAAACTTTCCCCAAATTCCCCCAAACGCCCCCAAATCCCCAAAATGCCCCGAAATGCCCCGAAATCCCCCCAATTTCACCTCGCAGGCGCGCGCTGCCGCCCCCGCCCGGCGCCTGCAGGGAGCAGCAGCCGCGGCACAGGCGGCGCTTGACAGAGGGGGCCCTGGACAGGGGAAAAGGGCACAAAGTGACCCAAAACTGGCACAAAATAACCCTAAACTAACAAAAATAACCCAAAATCGGCAAAAAATTACCCAAAGTGACCCAAAACCGGCACAAAGTGACCCAAAGTGACCCAAAACCAGCACAAAGTGACCCAAAGTGACCCGAAACCGGCACAAAATAACCTAAAATAACCCAAAATCGGCAAAAAATGACCCAAAATCGGCACAAAATGACCCAACACCCGCACAAAATAACCCTAAACTAACAGAAAATAACCCAAAATTAACAGAAAATAACCCAAAATCGGCACAAAATGACCCAAAATCGGCACAAAGTGACCCAAAGTGACCCAAAACCAGCACAAAGTGACCCAAAGTGACCCGAAACCGGCACAAAATAACCTAAAATAACCCGAAATTGGCACAAAATGACCCAAAGTGACCCAAAACCGGCACAAAGTGACCCGAACTTAACTGAAAATAACCCAAAATCGGCAAAAAATGACCCAAAATCGGCACAAAATGACCCAAAATCGGCACAAAGTGACCCAAAGTGACCCAAAACCAGCACAAAGTGACCCAAAGTGACCCGAAACCGGCACAAAATAACCTAAAATAACCCGAAATTGGCACAAAATGACCCAAAGTGACCCAAAACCGGCACAAAGTGACCCGAACTTAACTGAAAATAACCCAAAATCGGCAAAAAATGACCCAAAATCGGCACAAAATGACCCAAAATCGGCACAAAATAACCCAAAATGACCCAAAATTGGCACAAAGTTACACTAAATAACCCAAAATCGGCACAAAATGACCCAAAACCGGCAGAAAGTTACAGGAAATAACCCAAAATTGGCAGAAAATAACCCTAAAACCAACAGGAAATAACCCAAAACCAACAGGAAATAACCCAAAACCAACAGAAAATAACCCAAAATTAATAGAAAATAACTCAAAATCGGCACAAAGTTACACAAAATAACCCAAAATCAACAAAGAATACCCCGAAATCCCCAGAAATTCCCCCAATACTGCCATGAAACACCCCAAAATACTCCAAAAAACCCACAAATCACCCCAAATTCCCAGGAAATCACCCCAAAACCGCCCAAAATCCCTAAAAAATCCCCCCAAAACC